ATGCCCTGGCCAGGCATGGTGGCTCATGCCTGTAATCCCAGCACTTTGGGAGGCTGAGGTGGGTGGATCATGAGGTTAAGAGATTGAGACCATCCTGGCTAACATGATGAAACCCTGTCTCTACTAAAAATACAAAAATTAGCTGGGCATGGTGGCACGTGCCTGTAGTCCCAGCTACTCAGGAGGCTGAGGCAGGAGAATCACTTGAACCCAGGACGTAGAAGTTGCAGTGAGCTGAGATTGTACCACTGCACTCCAGCCTGGCGACAGAGTGAGACTCTATCTCAAAAAATAAATAAATAAAATAAAAAAGAATGACACCAAACACAGATTGCACCACTGCACTCCAGCCTGGCAACAGAGCGAGACTCCATCATAGATAAATAAATACAGACATACATACAATAAAAATATAATGACCCCAAACACAAAAGCAGTGATGCTGGCAACTTGGCCATGCCAAAGAGAAGCCACATACTGCTTCTTTTAAGTGAAAAGGTGAAAGTTCTCAACTTAAGGAAAAAAAAAATTCATATGCTGAGGTTGCTAAGATCTGCAATAAGAACCAATCTTCTATCCATGAAATTGTAAAGAAGGAAAAAGAAATCTGTGCTAGTTTCGCTGCTGCACCTCAAAACTACAAAAGCTACGGCCACTGTGCATAAATGATCGGTGAAGATGGAAATGGCATTACATTTGTAGGTAGAAGACATGAAGACAAACGGGCTCTGATTGATGGCAACCAAGTTCTGCACTAACCCAGGTTTCAGCATCCACTGGGGGTCTTGGGAAGTCTCCCCCAGATAAGGAAGGACTGCCGTCTTTGTGATTCCAATGTCCTCTGCTAGTTCTGCTGTTTGACCTACTAATCCTTCAATTCTCTGAGACCCCTTTCTTCCTCCTGATCCCCTTTCCCTAAATCTATTCTTTTCTTAATGCCCAGAAGAGGAACAGGCCAACCTCTGGGGCAGGCCAAGGGGAGCTGCAGCTGTCTCTGTGGCCCCGGCACTGCCTGAGTCTTTCCTCGTTCCTTATAGACTGATACACTGAGAGCCCTGGGCAACGTGCAAAGCTCTTCCAGGGTAATGCGTGGCTTCATGAGCCCTCCTTTTCCCAGAGGTCTCCTCTAACCTTGTTAATCTTTAAGAACTGTAATTTTTAAGGAAGGGGAGGGTATCCAGTAGGTTTCCCTTTTCACATCTCTCATCTGGTTTGGCTTGGAAGTTTGGGTTAGTTTGGGAGCCTGAGAAATTCTTGGGCACTGGACAGAGATCGCAGGAGGTAATCGATCACACAGGTCCCCCATCACAGGATGCCCATGTTGGCACAAGAACGCTGCCCCCTGCCCCATGGGAGAGCTAAGCTGCTTGGGAGCCAGGGTGGCAACAAATCTTTCGGGAGGCTGTTTGGAAATGCTTTATGGCCCACAGGGTTACAAGGCTCTAGCTGAACAAATGGAAAAATTAGTCTACCCTAAAATATCCAAGGCAAGTAATTTCCTATCACCTTGTTTTTCAAATGTACTTAACATCTAGAATCTCGGCTTCTCAAAATATGGATAAGGGTCATCAGTTAAAATGGCAACTCAAGAGATAAAAATCTTCCACTTTAACAGTCACTCATAAAATGACGCCATCAGCCCTGCTGTTTGGCCTCAGAGTTAGGAGTCCAAAAACAACAATTATTAAGTATTCTTGATTTAACAGACTTGAACCAGCCAATGAGCAGGACACTTATCCTTTGTCCCCCAAGGCTCAGCAACTGACCCTCTGCTCTCTCCACAGAAGCTCCTCAAAGACACGTATCTGGGGTTAGTTCCCCCTCTGTTGGGACAGTTTGCTTTTCTGCAAAGCTTTTCCAGGGTAATGTGTGGCTTCGTGAGCCCTCCTTTTCCCGGAGGGCTCCTCTAACCTTGTTAATCTTTAAGAACTGTCATTTTCAAGGAAGGTTCCTTTCTCCAAATTTCTAAACTACTTCTTACTCCACAAAGTACTGATGACAACCAGATGGCAGTTGGTCTGTTTATTTCTTGCATGCTTTTTTTCTTTTTCTCTTCCTCTTCCTTGAATCCTTTTGCTCTTCTTTTCGTTCTTCTTTTCTCCTCTTCATTCATTCATTCGTTTATTCCATTCCACTCCTTCAATAGAGATTATAAAATACCTCCCTATCAGGAACTAAGAATGCTAATTTATAGGATACAGATGGAAATTCGGCCTTCAAAGAGCTTCCCTTTGGGGCTGGCGGTGCCACGCAAGTGTGAGCAGAGGGGCAGAGCAAGACATTTCAGGCTGCACGGGACTGACGCCTAAGAGCTGGAGAAGGCTGCATTTGATCTACGACCTGGGAGAGGAACAGAAGCTTGCAGGGGAAGTAAAGGGGAAGAGTATTCCAGATTGAGCAAACAGCAGGTGCAAAGGTCCTGTGGCCACAGGCAGTGCAGCACAGCAAAGGGGCTGAAAGTAGTGCTCTAGGGCTCAAGTATGAAGTGACCAGGAGCAAGGATGTGGCCGTAGAAATCAGTAGGGGTCAGACCATGGGGGCCTAGCACACCATGGTCATGGAGGCCTAGCGCACCAGGAGGTAGAACTGAATGCAGAAAGTGATGGAAAAGTTGGAGTAGAAAGTGCATTAATTAAAAAAAAAAAAAAAAAAAACACTGAAGGTTTAACTCATTCTGTACCACACAGCCACAGGAACCTGGGAACAGGGGCTTCCAAGGTTCTCAAGAAAGTCTGGTGTCATTATGGAAGGAGTAATCTGGCCTCTAGGTGGGGGATGGGGGAAGGATGATCGTGACTCACACGAGCCTGAAAATAAACCAGCCCTGTAACTTTAGAGGCAAATGAGAATAAATGGAATCTCTAGGGCTCACTGCAGTTAGACTTTTTTTTTTTTTTTTTTTGAGGGAGAGAGGCCAGATACTGAAATGGGGAGGTTTGCTGAACAATAGAACATCTTCTCATGCCCCTTTTGGCAGGCAAACTTCTTCACAGGCCATGAATAGGAGTCATTAAATTCTAAACCTAAGGTGAGAAGACAAAGTTTGATAAATGTGCCCGGGTACAGGAATAAAGACCCAGAGAGCATGCAGATCACAAAGTTCAGACTGTGACAACCTGTGCTCAGTGTTAAACACACAAACATGCTCTCTCACACACACTAACACACTCACACACATGCCCTCCCTTTCTTTTCTTTCTTTTTGAAAGAGATAGGGTCTCATTGTGTCATCCATGCTAGAGGTCATTGGCATGATCATGGTTCTCTGCAGCCTCAACCTCCTGGGCTCAAACAATCCTCCGGCCTCAGCCTCCTGACTATCTGTGGCTACAAGTGCGCCACCACGCCTGGCTGCTCTCTGTTTCCGTGAACTGTCAGTTGCAAACGTCAATTCCTAAAATTCTCATACCTAAAAGGCAAAAGAATTGAAAGTGATCAATAGATGAGACAGGAGCACATTTAGGAAAGCTGAGGGGAGGAGCAGCTCAGGAAAAAAAAAATGAAATAGAAAAAATATGTTATCAGTCAGTCAAGAAGAGTCACGGCTCCAGAAGTCACATCTTAAATATGTTTCAGTATTTCACAGGTTTATAAACTCCTCTAGTATTCTCATGGGCTTAAAGAAAACTATTGCATACATTTTGTTTTATTCTCCAGCAAATCTTGCCCTGCTGCTATCACTTGAGGAAGTGAGTAAGAAGGTCTGTCCTTTAATTATTGACCAAACACCTAGGTTACAGAGCTTAAATCCTTTTAATGATGCATAAAACCACACAAGGGGCCGGATTAGCTTGTCCAGTGTTAATTAGAGCCTTTCCTGCACATTCTTTCCCACCCTTTATTTCATGACCAGGAATAGTAAAGCCTAAGTTTTCAAATTTATGTTAAATCCAAGAGGTTAAAAAAATGTAAGGCCAGTTAAGTGGAGAAGAAGCTGTGTAAAGAAGGGTTACTAGATGTATATATGCCCTCAAGTCAGGACTCTCAAGCCAGCAGTATGCAGCACCCTCTCTGATGTCTTGTTATGGAAGAGCTCTCTGGATGACCCAGGCAATTCTATGCATTTTTTAAAGAGTGGGCATTTTTCAAAATGGCTCCTTCTAATAACCAACAACTCCCAGCAATGATGAAAGTCACCATCATTTGTCAAGCAATTTGGTAACATCTAAAAACAGTTCCCTAAGAACTGCTCCCCTCCAACACACTGCGCGCGCGCGCGCGCACACACACACACACACACACACACACACACACACACACTATAGTTTTCTTGAGTCCACTTTCAAAGCCATCTCTGTTGCAAAAGCCGCCTCGGGCAAGGAGTTGGAAATGAATCAATCTTGGCAAAACGGGAAATGATTTTGGGGGACAGAATTAAACTTGGGTAGTTTTTCTTTCCTTTCTCAATTGTACTTTTGTTCGTAGCTTCAGCTGGGAGAGAGAGTGCACACGTTTAGTTGGGAGTTTATGAGTTCATATTTTATAATTAACGTTGCCAACAGGGGAGTTTGATTAATGCCAAGCAGTGGATTTTGAGCAATGTTCCATACAAATTGCCAAATTTAGCAATAAAATAAATTGGTTATGCGAACATAATTAGTAGGATGACTATTTAAAATTCAAAACCGAATGTGAATAATTCCAAATCATCTGAGCCACAAATCCATTATGTGTATATAAGGGGGAAAGTATAACATTTGGGTTTTATTTTGCCCTCAACCACAGTGTTATTCACCACCAAGCTGAACAGAATGAAACTTCCACAATGGGTTGTGGAAATATTTTAGAGCCACTGAGAAACACACATATACATGCATGCACACACATAAAGGGAATGTAAAAAGGCAAGATACGCTAAACTGCGAATTTTCATTATAAATTTAAAAATCTATAACAAACTTTTCAACAAATGCTGCATTACATTTTTCCAATGTGCAATATATAAACCTCAAATGCACAGTTTTGCAGCAGAGCTTTCTCCCTGTAAATACTCACAGTACCTTGTTGTCACCCTGGACTTCTCCAAGCCTTTGCTGAAGTTCTTTAATTTCTTCTCCGAGATGTTTATTTCGGTCCTGAGAATCTCTCAATAGTTGTGCAAGATTCGCCTACAAATATCAACACATTATGAAACAGAATGAGAAATGGAGGAGTAGATAAATGCAGGGCTCTATTGGGCTTGTGGATGCTGGCGTCCAACCCCAGCTGAACCCCACAAAGCCTGTTATAGTAAACACATATATGAATGCAGCCAGTGTGTGAATCACGCCACTACAATGGCACGCAGGAAAATGAAGTTGGCCATGAACCTCAATTTGGGGATATTCTTTTGTTTCCAGAATGGCTCACAGAGGGCACTAGGACAAGCAATGGAAGAGTCAGCCTTATTTGAGTTAAAAAAACAAAAAAAAAAAACTGTGAGGCTGAGGCAGGAGACTTGCTTGAACTTGGGAGGCAGAGGTTGCAGTGAGCTGAGATTGTGCCACTGCACTCCAGACAGAGCAAGACTCCATCTCAAAAAAAAAAAAAAAAAAAGAGAGAGAGAGTTTATCACTAAAAATCTTGAAAATGGACATAGCGTTCAATTGTAAAATTTGGGCCAGGCCAACAATATAGAAAAAGCTTCATTTTCTTGTTTAGATAGCTTTTGTTTTTCTTCAAATATATGTGTTTTGTCTCATGAGTTTTTGTGTGTGACCTCAATGCCTAGAATTTTGATTACAATTCCAGTGGGCGGCCAGAAAAGAGGTCAGGGACGAGCAACAATTTCTGAAATCAGGATCCAGAAGAAATGCAACAGTTTCCTGGGCTGGTTTTCCCCCTCTTTATTTCCTTATTTTACCTCACATCCGGGAGAAGTACTAAATAGCCAGGATAGTCGCCTTTCATTCCCATCTTCATGACATCATCCTTTCCTTAAGATTTGCCTCCTGTTGGGATCCAGGTCCCTCCGATCTCCACGGCCGGTCCATCAGCCAGCCTCCCCTTTCGGTGTGGCTCCATCTCACAGCCTCATCATTCCTTTTCCCAGAGCATGCAGACACCTTTTGCCATATCCTCACCCCTTTCCCACATTTCCTGAACCTGGGATTCCTGGCTGCCCATCTAACTACCTACTCCAGCCTTTTACTCATATTCCTCCTCGCGCACATGGCTTCTTGTTCTCCTGTACTATTCTTATTTAGCTAATGGACTTGCCCTAATTCTCACCTGACTTACCACATTCTCATTGAAACTTAGCAGGGAGAGACTGCAAGCTACTGAAAGGCAGAGATTCTGCTTTCTGCTTCCTCCCCTTCCATGTGTGTTGTTCCAGACAGTGCTCAGGTACTGACAAGTGTTTTAAAAGCTCATGATGAATAAATGAAGAAAGAAAGGAGGGAAGGAAGCAGTAAGCAATCCAAACAGTCCCCTTGGAAGGGGAAATCATTCAAGGAGAGTCAAACAAGGGATATTAGAGATGATCTTAATATGAAAGAATCCTTTCCTGCTACAGCTGAAGAAACCCAAATCCGGAGAGGTTAGGGAACTAGCCAGACTGGAATGGTGACATTTCCAAATACTTCAATGCTAATACTTTGGGGAATATGCACCTATGGTGGGTACTAAAAAGAGAATTAAAGGGAAAAGATAACGATTACATATTGGCTGACCTGCCTTATCCCATTTATCCTGTTGTCTTACCTACCAGGTCTCCCCAACTCATGCTCACCTCCCTGTGGTCCCCCACACAGACCAGGCATGATCCTATTTCAGTGCCAGGGCCCTGCTCTCTCTGCTTGGAATGCTCTCCCTCCAGAGAGCCTCTTGGTTCACTTCCTCACCTCCTTCAGTCTTTGCTCAAAGGTCACCATCTCAACAGGGTCCATCTTGACCGGTTGATTTAATACTGAAACCTTCCCCTGTGCTACCTTATCTTTTTTTCTGGAGCACTTGCCATCTGTTAATATACCATATCATTTACTTCATGGTTCATTGCTTACTGTTGCCTCCTTGTCTCCCTCTCCTTACTAAAACGTAAGTTCCATGAAGGGCAAGGAACTTCGTTGTCTTTACTGACCTCTCCCAAGCACGTAGTAGATGCTCCATAACTATTTTTAAAATAAGAGGCAATAAGCTGCGTGTGGAGGTTGCGCTCTCACCAGGAGAGATCAGGAATAATAAGAGCGGGCACCAAGACTGAAACCAGTGCCTGGCATGGAGACTTGCATAGAAAATCATTCATTCCTGGCTGGCTGCGGAGGCTCATGCCTGTAATCTCAGCCCTTCGGGAGGCCGAAGCGGGTGGATCACCTGAGGTCAGTATTTCAAGACCAGCCTAGCCAACATGGTGAAACCCTGTCTCTACTAAAAAATACAAAAATTAGCCAGGCATAGTGGCACATGCCAGTAGTCCCACCTACAGTGGAGGCTGAGGCGGGAGAATCCCTTCAATCCGGATGGTGGAGGTTGCAGTGAGCTGAGATCATGCCACTGAACTCCAGCCTGGGCAACAGAGAGAGACTCTGTCAAAGAAAGAAAGAGAAAGAAAGAAAAAGAAAGAAAGAGAAAGAGACAGAGAGAGAGAGAAGGAGGAAGGAAGGAAGGAAGGGGAGAGAGAGAGAGAGAGAGAGAGAGAGAGAGAGAGAGGGAGAGAGAAAGAAAGAAAGAAAGAAAGAAAGAAAGAAGGAAGGAAGGAAGGAAGGAAGGAAGGAAGGAAGGAAGGAAGGAAGGAAGGGAAGGAAGGAAGGGAAGGAAGGGAAGGAAGGAAGGAAGGAAGGAAGGGAGAAGGAAGAGAAGGAAGGCAGGAAAGAAAAAGAAAGAAAGAAAGGAAAAGGAAAGGAAAGGAAAAGACAAGACAAGACAAGAAAAGAGAGAAAAGAGAAAAAAGAAAAGAAAACAAAAGAAAAGAAAGAAAGACATTCATTCCCATTGGCTGGATGTAATCAAGCCCTGATCTCCACTCACTTATTTGAGAATATTACTCAGTAACTCCATCCAATTTTTCAGCCCCCTATTTGCAAAGCTCCCATCTTGTAATATTTGAGTTCTAATTTTCCCAGATTTCTGTTCTCCCAAGACAAAAATTTAGTGATGGATGTGGAAAATCAAAACCTGTTTTGTAGGTAGGAAAGCAAAGAAACAAGAGACATTGTGAACAAATGACTGCCTTTGGAAATTTCCCTGAATGGGAGGAATCAGAGAGACGAGGCTGCATTCTGATCATGCCACTTCCTGGGCTCGATGACCTGGCAGGAGTTTCTTAATCTCTTGGGTCTCTCATCTGTAAGGTGGAGCTAGCAACACATAGTGATTTGATCTTTAAATAATGAACACAGAATGCCTACCACAGTGCCCAGCATCCAGTGTGCACTCATTAAAGGTGGGATACCTCCCTCAACTGTGCCCACCCCGTGACTCCTACTCTAACACTCAGTGAACAGAGCTGTGTAGATGCAGTGAAGGCTTCCTTGGACACAGCTGACTCCTTTGCAATCCTGCCCCTTCACTGTTGATTGTTCATTCATTCATTTATCTGACAAATATTTATTGGACACCTGGCATCTGCTTGGCACTGTTTTAGACCTGGAGATACAGCAGCAAACAATACAGACAAAACCCTTACCCTTGGAAACTGACATTGAATGGGTGACATTACATTAACTGCATTATATTACAATAGAATATACAATGAATCCATGCGTTAGAGGATAACATGCTGCAGAGAAAAATAAAGCAGGCAAAGGGAACAGAATGTGCTGGAAGAAAGGGCCACAGAAGGTTTCACTGAGAAGGTCACATTTAAGTCAAGACTTGAAAAAGGAGAGAGAGAGCCTTGTAGATATCTTGGAGAAAAAGTCCCAGACAGAGGAAAAGGCAAACAGGCTTCCCTCTCTCCCTCTCCCCATCACATCTCAAAACTTCCATTTGGAAGCACAGCTCAAGGCCACAAGAGCAGGCTGACCACAGGGACTGCAGTGAAGTCAAGAGATGACTCAATTCCTGATTTTCTTTTCCTGGTTCCCCCTCTCCATCCACAGCTCTCCTTCCTTAGCTCAAGGTGTCACATGTGGGTGGACTCTGCCTTTCCTCCACAGAACTCCAGAACATTCCCCAGACATTAGCTCATTGATCCTTTCCCCTGGCAGCAAACATAATCCCTCTCTACCAGATGGAGGGCCAGGCCACTCGGCAGCAGTGACTATCCCTGGGGAGAGGCAGGAGGAGCAGCCCAGCGCTTGCTCGGTCTGGGAGCTGGCTGCCAACTGCACATTCAGGTGAATCTCAGCATCCCCATCTGGAGGAAATGCAGCAAAATCCACCTAAACCTTCATTTAGCAGAAGAGAGGCCCAAAGAAATGTCTGTAAGGGCAACAATGAAAATGTAACAAAAGACAAGGGAAAAAAAATCTCCAACCTCCCTAACCTTCCCTTTTTAAATCAATATTTCCTTAGTCTCTGGTGGGTGGGAAGATCCTGACATTCACTGACCAATGTAACTGCAGTGGCTACATTGGTAGCTACTATATTGGTAGACCAGTACAACTCAATCTATTGGTGGGGAAAGACCAGTTCTCTTTTTCCAATCCACAACAGATCAATACTTTTGTAAAATCTAATAAAAATGAATTACTAGGCAAATAAGAAGACAAGAAGATAAAACCCCAAATGTGTATCATTAGATTCAACAGACATAAAACCATGCTGTCAAATTGCTATGAAAGTTTCTGAACACTTACTCTCAATTTCTGTATGTATCTTGTCATGGATCAGAAACAATTAGGTTGCAGCCTGGCCCTGGTCCTTGGGCCTCACTTTAAAAAGCATTGAGCTCACATGGTTTTCCCAGGGATGTGGAAACTAGGAAGACACTTGGTATAAAAATCAGTCGATAATTCCAGCGATGACCAGGACAGAGGGCAGGGCTGCTTTAGGAAACAGTTATTTAGAGACCCAGTGATGTGATTATTGAACATGATTTACTCTGCAGCCTGGCTGAAAAGAAATCTACGAAGAGCCAGGCGTTTCTACATTAGCTGCAAAACAATGGTTTATTAAAATCGCCATGCCTCCAAGTGAGTTCACTGTAAATGTACCCCAGCTTCAAACTTGACCCCTGGAGTACGGT